GGATCCAACATTACTTAAGCTTGAGTTCCATATTTTATTTTTAGCTTGTGAGAATGTGAATAGAACGGGAAAGATAAGAAGAAAAATTCATTCATTATGTTGAGTAGATACTATCAGATTCCGGAAAAAAAAAAAGTTGAGTGAGAGAAACTTTCTAATAATCTGATTAGATGATTCTTGATTAAAAAAATAATATTTTTGTGAAATAAATTTTGTTGTTGAATATATATTTGTAGTGATACTAGAGAGTTCAACAAACAGTACATACTTATATATTTATTATTTAGCAAAGAAAAGAAAGGACAAACTTAATATTATTGGCTTTGCCCGGACTTAAATCGGAGACCTTCAGTGTTTTAGACTGACGTGATAACCAACTACACCATGAAACCAGTGGCTTTCACTTTAGCAACCAATAATTACGTTACAATCAAAATACCATATTAGATGGAGATCACTTTATCAGTCGTGTGATGCTTTTCCCCATGCGTTTTGTTTAGTGTTGGAGAAATCGTTGTTTTTTTTTTGTCAGAGTGTTTTTTTGTCTCCAACTCCAAACTTCAAAATGGATTCAACTTTACTTTGGCCTGAGTTCCATATTTTATTTTTAGCTTGTGAGAATGTGAATGGAACGGGAAAGATATGAACAAAAATTCATTCATTTAGTTGAGTAGATACTATCGGATTCAGGGGAAAAAAAGTTAGGTGAGAGAAACTTTCTAACAATCTGATTAGATGATTCTTGATTAAAAATTAATATTTTTGTGAAATAAATTTTGTTGTTGAATAGTTGAAAATATATTTGTAGTGATACTAGAGAGTTCACCAAACTCTATATATATATATATATATATATATATATATATATATATTTGTTATTTAGCAAAGCAAAGAAACAACAAATTTAACATTATTGGTTTCGCCCGGACTTGAACTAGAGACCTTCAATGTGTTAGACTGACGTGATAACCAACTATACCACAAAACCATTTGCATTCACTTTAGCAACCAATAATTATGTTACAATCAAAAGACCATATTAGATGGAGATAACTTTATCAGTGGTGTGATGTTTTTCTCCATACCTATGTGCATGAGCTCTCAGTTTCTTTAATATATTATTATTTGGGTTTAATACTAGTGTTGCAATTGTGATAATATTGTTTGATGCTTGTAATTAGTGGCCATAGTTACTTGTTTCGTTTGGTTTGTTTGTGTCACAATGAGAGTTGGGCATAATTTTGGGCACACACAATTGCACCAAACTGTTGCACCTTGAGAAAGGGTAATTTTGTTAGGGAGTTTAATTCTTGATTATTGCGCATCGAGAGATGGTAGTAGTTAGGAATTTATGATGCTTGATCTTGTTTTATTGAGTGTTTAAGCCACGAGAGTGGAAATTCACTAGTGTTAGTGGCTACGAGAGTAGCTCTATACCACCTTGCATCCTCACACTTGTTAAACCTAGATTTTAATATTGTCCTTATGATTTGGCATTAGGTGATTAAATACTTGAATCCCATGAATCTCATCTTCTCTATAATTGTTTTCAAAATCCTGAATCTCTATTTTATTTTATTTATTTTATGCATATTAATCATCTAAACATTTGTTACGATTAGGTATAATGAATAAATTAGTAATAGTGTTTGATAAAACCAATTCCCTGTGGATCGATAACTCGTACTCCGAGTATTATTTGTTTGCAAATATTCTATGCATTATATACGTATATACTTCTGCTCAAATGCGACTGTGCATTCCCGTGCGGTCCGTGCGGCCGCTTGAAAAGACACCAATAGTGTTACGAAAATGCACAACAATGAAATGCTCAAATACACAAAAAAAAAAAAAAATGCACAACACACCCAAAATAATGCACAATAACTTTCCACACCTAATTGTGCATTGTCGACCACTGTGTGGTGCTTTTAAGCATACCTAGTGTTGCATTTTTTAGTGATGCGTACCTAATGATGCATATTTGTAGAACTATTACTGCAAACGCATGTTAAGGTGTGGTTGCACTTGAACTCTGCTCTCTCTCTCTCTCTCTCTCTCTCTCTCTCTCTATATATATATATATATATATATATATATATATATATATATATATATATATATATATATATATATATATATAATTTCACTTTTTGTTCGATGATTATTGGGGTGTTGTCATTTTAAGTCCACAACTTTCAAAATTAACAATTTAGTACCGTACTTATTCCATTTTTATCATTTTTCGTCAATATGGTCAAATTGCCTGCCAATTGTGGCCAATTTTTATCTACACCCCACATGCCTCTGTATTAATTTAAATAATGGTTCAGAAATTAGCTTCCAGTTTAACATTGAATTAAAAATTTTGGCGACAATTGGTCGACAATTTGGCCGGACTAACTAAAATTGATAAAGATTGAATAGTTAGGGTACTAAATTGTTTGTTTTGAAAGTTGTGGACTCAAATTGAAAGCACCCCAACAGTCATAGGACCAAAAGTGAAATTAACTATGTGTGTGTGTGTGTGTGTGTGTGTGTGTGTGTGTGTGTGTCCACAATCAAGTGAGAATACCATGCCGTAGGGTGAGAACATGAGGAAAAATCCAAACCATTGATCTAGTAGATCTAATAGTTGAAAATAAACAACACTTTGTAATATTTATGACAATGACCCCGCTCATTTTCTACTTGATTTCTCATTCATCAGATATTTTAGATCATATGATTTCTCACCTGAGAAGTGGTTCTCATTTTATTAGGATTATATATATATATATATATATATATATATATATATATATATATATATATATATATATATATATATATATATATATATATATATATATATATATATATATATATATATATATAAGGATCAAATAAAAAAAGATTCATTAGGTAAAAAATGCGGACAAGTTACAACCATAGATCAAATCCAAATCAACAGCCCAAATTGAATCTTAATTAAGTCAGCTTTTGTGGTGTTTTTAATCACACCTAATGGTGTGTTTCTAGTGATGCGTACCTAATTTGTGTGTGTTTTTGTGGTGTATTTTCCTAACGTTGATGGTGTATATTTGATGAACTATTGGTGACGCTGCACCGTAAGACACCACCGCACTTGAACCTTCCTCTCTCTCTCTCTCTCTCTCTCTCTCTCTCTCTATATATATATATATATATATATATATATATATATATATATATATATATATATATATATATATATATATATATATATATATATATATATATATATATATATATATATATATATATATATATATATATAGGGGAAGGGTTCAGGTGTGGGAGGGGCTTTCCGCGCGGTTGTGAGGTTGGACGCAAATTAACCATTAACTGACGCACTTTAAGTACACATCACACGCACATTAAGCACACAAACAAAACACCTTCAGAACACAAACTCACGCATGTTAAGGACAAAACTCAAGCATGTTAAGTACAAGCCTCACACATGTTAAACACAAACCGCGTGCACCTTAAGCACAGAACTCAGGCATCTTTTAAGTTTCAACAACTACTCACATTAAGCACAAACCCACGCATGTTAAGAACAAAACTTACGCACAGTAAGCACAAAATCCACGCACTTAAGCACAAAACTCATTCACTTAAGTTTTCAACAACAACTCACATTAATCACAAACCCACGCAGATTAAGCACAAACCTCACACACATTAAGCACAAGACCCACGCACTTGAAGTACAAAATTGACGCATGTTAAAACCCCACAACCGTACGAGAAACACTTATATGCACTAGAACTTAATTATATATATATATATATATATATATATATATATATATATATATATATATATATATATATATATAGGTAGATGCTCATATGCGGTCATGGCCTTAGGTGAGGCGGTGAGGTCAGTTTATAGTCGTTGATCGAAGTTAATCTAACGGCAGCGATATATTAGTTGAATTAAGTAAAGTTTGTCGCGTTTTTGGTAAGCGGGGGCGTTTCAGTAATTTAATGGGATGGGGACGTGAATGTATAAAAGACGGTTTATTTTGTGTGATTTTAAACACGGAAGGAAAGAGAGATCAAGACATCGTTCGTGATCGCGTCATAATTGGAAGAAGATCAAGATCGCGATCCTGTTCTTGATTGCGTCCCAATTGGAATTCGGAGAATATCGCTGGGGATCACAATCGGAAGTTGGACGAGATATCAGTTGCGTTTGCAATTACAGATTATCGCAGTTGGGAGATTATTGAGGTTGAGCGATGGAGTCTGGTATGTTTTGAATTTCTCATGTTTGTAGTTTTAATTTGTCTTTTGTATTACTATGTGTCTGTTATGATTTGGAAGTTTATCGCATGCTTTTTTTATGGATTTGTTGTGTATCGATGTTGACTATGTTGCTGTGTGTTGTTTTTTTATTACGGTTTACTTTTTGTATACTCGTGGTGCATATATTATTTGATAATGTGTATGGCAGTATTAGATTTTATGCATGTATAATGTGCATGTAGGTAGGGTTATTCGTGTGTTATTGGATAAGGTGTGGTGCTTTATTAGTTAACATGTGGTGTGCAGCTGATGTTTTGCAATCTGGTGGTGTTTGTGGAGAAGGTAGTGGTGGTGTTTATGATAACGCAACTGATGTTTGTGGAGAATGCAATGGTTGCGATGAAGGTAATGTGACTGATGTTGGAGTAGCAGGCAGTGGTGTGGGTTGTGATGAAGATTATTTGGCTGATGTGGGTGTACAAGGCAGTGTATGTGTGTTGGAAACTTCTCCTGGGCTGACTAAGTATTGGCGCCCAGTTTGTGCTGACAGTGTGAAGCCTATCGTGGGGCAACAATTTGTTTCCTTGGATGGTGCTGTTTTGTTTTATAAACAATATGCTGGGACTGTTGGGTTTGATTGTAGGTAGCACTCAATTCAGAAAGATAGGGATGGTGTTGCTGTGGAGAAGCACGTAGTATGTAACCGTCAGGGTTTTAAGCAGATGGTTTCTAGGGTTGCTAAAACTACTTTGGCGAGGAGACGGAGGGTGACAAATAGGGTTGGTTGTAAGGCTAAGGTTGTGATAAAGCGTAAGTCTAATGGGTTGTATGTTATGCATTATTTTGAGGAACGTCACACCCATTCGATGTGTTCAATTATTGCTAGGCAATTTTTAAAGGTGAATCGTAGTCTCGATGCTGGGCACCAAATGTTTATTGCTAGTTGTGTTCGGGCAAATATTGGGTCTGTTCGGTCATATAGGCTGTTTAAAGAGATTGTTGGTGAGTATTCCAGTATCGGGGCTACAGGTGTGGATTTTAAGAATTTCAAGCATGACCTGATGGTGTACATTCTAAATGGTGATGCTCAATTATTCATAGATACGTTATTCAAGAGACGTGAGTTGTGTGAGGCATTTGATTTTGAATATGATGTTGATGAAGGTGATCAGCTTTCAAGGGTTTTTTGGGCAGATGCAGTATCTAGGAAGAATTTTGCGTTGTTTGGTGATGTTGTTTCATTTGATGCTACATACCGTACTAACAGGTTAGTATTTATTTTTATTGTGCATGTTGTATTTGTCTGTGGTGCATGATTCCATACCTTATGGTGTGTCTTCTTAGAAGTATGGTTTTGATTGCTTGTTGTATTGTAGGTATAAGTTGGTGTTTGTTCCATTTACTAGAATTGATAACCATAAGAGATCCATAACCTTCGGTGCTGGTTTGCTTACGAGGGAAGATGTAGACTCATATGTGTGGCTTTTGGAGAAATTTAAGAAAACTATGTGTCATGACCCTATATGTGTTGTTACTGATCAAGATCCTGCTCTCAAGGTTGTTGTTGCTCGCGTGTTTGGTACATCAAAACATAGATTTTGCATGTGGCATATAATGTGCAAGGTTGGTGAGAAGGTTGGACCGATACTATCTAAAGATGAAGTGTTTAGGAGGAAGTTGAATGGCATTGTCTGGAACAAATCACTGGACTCCAAGTCCTTTGAGGAGGCATGGAGTTTTATCATGGAGGAATATGGTTTGGGTGACAATGGTTGGTTTCGTTACTTGTTCGAGTCTCGTACATATTGGGCATCCCCATATTTTCACGATGAGTTTATGTCAGGACTGGTTAGGACAACGTCTCGATCAGAGTCTCAAAATAGTTTTTTTGGTACGTTCTCTAATGGTCATTCTAGTTTGGTTGAGTTCTTGGTGCATTTTGGAAGTGCTGTTGGTGTGCAGCGTCATGCACAAGCAAAATTGAATGCTGATTGTGAATCTTGTTTTCCTGTTTTGAAGACACCATTGGCTTTGGAGAAGCATGCAATGGATGTTTACACCATTTCTGTATTTTATGATGTTCAAGTAGAGATTTGTGCAGCTTGTTATTCGTGTCAAGTGGTGTCTTTGTGTGATTGTGATGGCCATGTGTCATATGGGATAAAAGATGGTGCCCAACGGGCATGGTATGTGGAACTAGTCTTGTCTGATTATATTGCTACATGTTCTTGCAAGATGTTTGAGCGGACGGGGTTGTTGTGTAGGCATATTTTTTTTTGTGTTTAAAGATCGTGGGCTTGAGAGTATTCCTTCTAGGTATGTGGTGTCTCGGTGGACAAAGGGTGCTTGCTTGAAGCCAATATTTCATATTGATGATACAATTGTTGATCAATCTTCTAAAGTGGAGAATGTTAGGATTTTTACTAATCTATTGTGGTCTGACATATATGCTTGCGTGGGCTTGGCCGATGGTAATATAGAACGTTTGGCACAACTACGACGTGTTATTTCTGAGCAAAGGAAATTATTTCTACAAGAGGGGAGTGAGGATGGCAGTGGGGTGGTGGCTGGTGGCAGCAAACAAAGTGTGATCAATTCATTTTGTGGAGATGTGTCTCAGGGTTCAACAGTGGAGGTGCGTGATCCTATTCAAGCTAAGAACAAGGGTAGCGGTAAGCAGTTGAAGAGTACAAGGGAGAAAGCTGCTAGCAAGTGTGTAAAGCAATCAAGGAAATGTCATACTTGTGATGAATATGGTCATAATAGTAGGACATGCCCTTTAAATGGTTAGATACAGTTGCGTAGTTTGATTTGGGACCTATATGTTTTTACAGTTGCGTACAATTCTTATAACAACAGTTATGCATTTTATTACAGTACTTGGTGTTTTTTAATAAACAGTGTGGTGCATTTAAGAATGTTGGATGTTTTTATATTAGAATGGTGTGTTTTATTCCGTTTTGTGGTGCATTTTTATATATAGAATTATGTTGGCTGTAATATATTGTGTGGTGCATTTCATTTCATTTGTTGGTGTATTTTGCAAGTTAAAAGTGGAATGGTGCATGCTATTTGTTATAATGGTGTTTTTGATGTGTCCTTTTATAAAATGAAGTGTATGCATAATAATACTGCATTTATAGTAATGCAAATGGGTAAGGCATTCACAAGTACCCATCACAAAACATTGTTTGTCTAGTAGTCATATGGTCTATGCCATGCCATCACAAAAACAACATTTACATGATTGAAAGTCTTCCTAAACACCAAACTCTGCTGCCTTCTATATGTTTATTTCTTTCAGTTCATTCACATCTGAGGTGATCAAGGCAGCCAAGTACCTCACTCGTAACTTGTTCAATTGTTCTTTGTTGTTTTTCTGCAATCCACAATCCCATTCTTCAGCTGACTGTCCACGGAAGGTTTCCATATGGCGCATTAAAAAGATGCCACAATCCTTTTTGTTATGCGCATCTCTCCAAGGCATCTTCATTATCTTGGATTTCAGCTTCTTTACCTTCTCACCTTTGTACGCGGATTTCTGTTCAATCAACATATTTGAAATGAATTTTTGCTGCATCAAGGAAGCATACAACAATATTAGTTTTTTGTGTCGTTGTGTATTAAATATATATAACCAGGTAGTGTTTAGTGGGTTACCAGATTGTCAAGCACATATCCGTATTTGTCCTGTTTCTTCACAGGTGCTGAAGAGTTGTCAATGATGTCAAACTTTTCCATTAGTGGGCTAATAGACAGCAAGTAGTAGTGGTTGGATGCCACTGTGGGAAACAGAAACTGTTATAACAAAAACACACCACATGTGTCATAATATACACCACTATATGAGTAATAATGCACCACAAATAGACAAATACACCACTTACGTATACAGCTTTGTGCCACATGATGTCTATAGCAATCGCCTTGTCTTGCAGATACTTTTCTTTGAATCTTTTGAATCTTAAATTTTCATCCCCCTGCGGGTTCACAACTGTGTACAGCTGCAAAGTTCAATGGTGTAGTTGTTAGATTTGTAGGGGTTTTACAGGTGTAGTTACTTTCATATTCTTTGCTTACACTTGTCCAGGTTGAAGCAACGAATTTTGTAGACCCTCTCTCTCCTTCACGAATGTTTAGTATGGCTGCCCAAGCATCAACTATAGATACTGGAATCTCTGTATCTGGCGCCATTAACAGCATATCTCTCCAGTAGATTACCCTTCCTTCATACCTGAATAGTTCCTGCTCACTGGTAATAATTTATTGTATAAGCAACAAAAATATTAATACATCAACATTATTAAATCATACACCGAAGTTATAGCAGTAACACACCATTAGATGTTAATATTTCATTTAACGAGAATACACCAATATATATAGAGATATACACTAATAACTATTGAGTATCACACAATACCTAAGCAACTAGATGTGTCAACACAGACAACCATATAAACACACCAATAGTTATCAAATAATGCACTAGTTAATATATGATAATTATACACCAATATTATTATACAATGCACCAAATATATTTTAGAAATACACCAAGTAGAATGTGTTGTGCTTACAGTTCTGGGTTAGGGTTTTCTAATACCCATTGTCTGATTGATTCCTCTGTTGAAGTTATTGGGGCTTCCAGATCAGTTGCATATATGCGAGCCTTAGGTCTGATTGGGCTGTTCCCTCTAGCTGGTCTCTTTCCTTTGTCCAATGGTTGGGGTGGGGGTGGTGGATCTGAAGCAAGCCCCTCTTGAATTTGGTCTGCCGGTGTGACCTGTAACATTTAGATTTTAATTTTTTTTTCTTTTTGTCACGTCGCCAATTTAATACAGTGCATTACCTCATCATTGTTATCAACAGGTGCATCTGGTTGAGCCCTCTGTCCATCTTCTTCTTCTTCAGTTGCTTCTTCACCCTCATTCATGTTCAGCTCAACTTCTTCATTTTCTGCAGCCTGATCAATGTCTTGGTAGTCTCGTGCAATATCATTCACGTCCGCCCAACGTCTATTTTGTTCCTCTGGTGTCAATCCAAGGCTGAAAGATGGCATATCATTTAGGAAAGTTCTCTTGTTTACTGCACGGACAATCTCATCTACTGCCTTCAAGAACTCAGGGTCACTCCAGTAGGCATCCTCTCTTTGAGTAAAGGTCAGTTCTCCATCATCTTGTGCTCTGAATCCAAGCATTTGCCTAGCAGATTCAAACATCTGCTTGAATGTATCATGCTCCAATACTGCTGCAGGTGCATTTTCAATTAGCTTTGATATTCTCAGCAGACTCTGTGCAATTGACCTAGTGTGGGTGGTAATCTCATCAACAAACTCCTGTACATGAAACACTATAGTATAAACACACCAATACATATTGTAATATACACCAAATATTTATAAAAAATACACCACAGTCAGATAATGCACCATATTACACACAAAATGCACCAATTACCATTGCAGTGGTTGGGTTACCTGTAATCCTTGTGGCAGTGGTGGGGTCTCTTCTTGTGGTGGGGATGGGGGTGGGGCTTCATAGTGTGTTGTGATCTCCAGTGGTAAGGCAGTATCAACGCGTCCATATCCGAATCCTCCAGACTTGAGCTCATCCTGTTGTCATTGTCGGAGCAGTTTAAATGTCCAACTATTCATGGCAGGGTAGCTTCTTGGGATAGACCTCCGGTAGAGCACCACACGGTCAACATAGAATACCTGCATTTGGTAGTTTAGATTATTCATAGGGTGATGTGAAAGTAATTACAAGCTTGTTGAGTGTCTATTTACCGTTAGGAAAACAATTGGTCCTCCAAACCTTCCATCACAGCTTTCCAACCATGCCTTCTTGCTTGCAATGAGTGAATTGATCAGCATTCTACACCAATTGAGCCTCTTGATGTTGTCAACTTGACGCAAGTTGTCAATGTAGCTTTGGTTCACATAACCATTTATCTGTGGCTCCACCAACACACTCATAACAAGTAGTGCAAAATGTCGTTTGAACCATGGGTCAGCAGCTCTCAATGTCAACATTTTTTTAGCCATCTTGCGTGGGGTGATGTGGCCGTCAGCCCTTCCAAAGATTTTTCTCCAGTCTGCCAGGAGATCAGATACTGCTTTACTTTCCCTCTTAGTGATTTCTATGTCTCCAAGCGGCAGTCCCAATGTCACAGCAACATCTTCTTCTGTGATCTGTAGTTTTTGGCCATTTTACAGATTCAATGTGTTGCACCTTGCATCATAGTTTTCAACCAGCCACATCCCCAGTTTCCTTGGAAGGTTTGTGAGTTTGAGGTCAAGAATCCTTCCCAGCCCAATGTCTTTTATACTCTGGCGTTGTTGTTTGGTTAGGGCATTAATGGGTTTTGTTAGCTGTGTTGGCAGTGGCCTTATCTTTAGGTCAGTATCTTCATTCTCTTGCTCCAATGTATCTATTTCATCATTTGAGCTGTCATCAACTTCTTGTTCATGCACTTGTTCATCTGTCTCTGTTTCATCTTCTATTCTGTCAAGGAATGTCATTGCTTCTTGTTTTCTCTGCTGCCGTGGCTTTGACGAGTCTCCTTGGTCTAATGCCTTTCTCTTGTTGTTTGAAATACACAGATGGTAGGACAAAAATACACCATGCATAAAAATTAAACACACCACAACACTCTTTACCAATATTCAAGTTCCAAATCCCAGAAATCACCAATAATAAACGATATATACACTACATTGATGTTCACCATAAAACAAACAACACGTAATGAAATGCCCAGCCTGTAATGCTCAAAAATACACCGACAGTAAGATAAATATGCACAATGTACAACAAATAAACTCACAACAAATTTTTCACCAGTATTCGAGTTATACATTACAGAAAACACCAATAAAAAACGAAATATACACCACATTAATGCTTATCATAGACAGATAACACGTAACGAGATACAACAAATTCATAATATGAAATACACCAATGGTAGGATAAATATGCACTGTGTACAAAAATTAAACGCCCAACAGTTTTTTCACCAATATTCATGTCACAAATACCAGAAAACAACAATAATAAACGAAATATACACTACATTAATGTTTATAATGCACAAATAACATGCAATGCGATGCCCTAGTATGAATTGTTCAAAAGAATACAGCGATGGTAGGGTTAAGATGTTAGTTGACACATTGAAGTTAAATATTACAGAATACACTAATAATAAACGAAATATACCATTGCATGCTCGTTGTTTGCCTTTGTTCGCCATTTGTGTGTTTTGTAGCGAATCAGTGTCGTAGAAGACGGTTCGTGTCCCTCTCAGAACGCAGTGGTGTGTTCGGCTATAGTCTCCTCGCTGTTCGTCGTTGAAGTTTCTCGTCGTTGCAGTGGTTCGCCTAGCTTTCGTCGCCGGAGCAGGAGCAAGTTGGAGAGGGTTCGCGACTTCGGGATTGTGAATAGGCAGATGGGACGGGGTGTTTACTTGCAGAAGTGGAGAAGTGATCAGTTTGAATTGAACGATGGACAATTTTGCCCTCTATGTCGCGGTGGTCTTTAAGTGAAGCGCGAAATCATCTCAATTATGGTGCGTTGGATTGGACTTGATCAACGGATGGAAAATGACCTCACCGCCTCACCTGATCTTGCCTATATATATATATATATATATATATATATATATATATATATATATATATATTAGAAGTTGGAGTTCAAACTGCTGTAACTTCCATGTAACTTATCCTAGCAGTCAGCCACTTTCATCTATAAATATATGGATCAGAGAAACATATGAAAGGATCTA